GGAGGCATTGACTGACAATAAGGTTCCCATCTGTGTCAATTCTTCACCAAAAACAGGAGTTTAGTTTCATGGAAATGACGAAAATAAGTGGAAGATGGCGAACCAGAATTGCCAGCCAAGCTATCATATCTTTAAACTAAAAGTGGTATAAATTAAGGCTGAAAGAAAAGGGAGGCATGATAAATATTTTAAGCTCATAATCTATCATAGTCAGTCATAGATGTCAGTAGTGCCAGAGAAGTGCCTGCAGAGAGTATGCTTTCAGCACCCAACCTACAGACCAACTAAATAATGTTCAAAATTATACAAATTTTTAATGACTTGCTCTAGAACAAATCTAATGATTACATAAGTGATCAAAGGCAACATTAGCAGGATTAAGCCCCAGTTGATTGTAAGGTCTTATAAAGGGGTAAGCGCTTACAGTACACGTCTTGATGTAACCTAGAAAGGACGTGGATAGCATATGAAGAAACTAGCAAGTTTCGATGCTCGATTTTACCATCCAGAAGTAATTCACATCTGATCAAGCAGCCATGAATAGGTAATGGTTGAGATAATCTCAGGAGAAGCCCATGGAGCACCGTTCTAAATTATGTTTTTTGATCCATTGATAACAATAACAACTTCGATATTGCTTTTGGTAGAATTTCCATAAAACACTAGAATTAGTGCCAAGTTTATAGCAGAATCTTCATCAAACACCAGTAATATTGTCAATTATTTAAAATGATGATGATGATGATGATGATGATGATGATGATGATGATGATCAGAACTGAAAGAAGAGAAGAGAGATTGAACGATGAGAACCTCGCAAGGCAAGGCTGTGGTAAGCACCAGCAGCGATCCCTACGAAATTGGGCTGCGGCGCCTTGAGCCCTCCCTTCTTCCTCTGAGACGAAGCACCGCAGGAGGCGATGGGAACCGGAAAGAGCTCGTCGACGTCCTTGCCGGTGCCCAGCCGGCCAAAAGTCCCCCGTCCCCATGAAAACACGATCCCATCCGCTAAATCCAGTCGGAAAACCAACAAGCGAGTCATTCACCGACGGGAAAAAAAAAGAAGATTATCCTCGGAGACTCAGGAAAGACGTGATACCTGTGAGAGCGAGAGTGTGGGCTTCTCCTGCGGCGACAGCGACGACCTTGCGCGACATGGTCGGACCGGATTGCTTCGTGCGCGAGGGAGGAGATCGCCCGTGCACTCGTTTGCCGGAAGAGGAATCCCCAATTAAAGAGGAACACGATAAGGTTTGCGGACTGAAGCATTATGTAATATGCTCGCAGTCACAGTAAAACGAAGGGAAGCTAAAAACGCAAAGAATAGAAAAGTGGGCACCTCGGATTCGGCCGTGGCAACCAACCCTGTCTGATCTCGGACAGGGTTGGGCCTTCGCCCTCGGTGTATTGACGTGGAGGCAGCGGCAGTGTTCACTAGGGTTTGCACCGGGGTTTTCCTTCTCCAGTGGGTCCCGTCCGGTCCTACACAGCTAGTGATGAGCGATCCTGTATCCTGTTGGAAATTATTTAGCAAGTAACGATGGAATCCCTTTTTATATCACATACATGGCTTTCATACATTTAGCAAGTTGGGCACTAGGAAGAATAAGTTTAAGTAATGATGGTATCCATCTGGGCATCGTAAGCCCAAACATACTTGAGATGTGTTAATTAAAAAATCTAACTCATATTAAAATAATTCATCATGATAAAAGTATAATGTCAAATGCGCTCGAGATATATTAATAAAAAAAATCCGCTTGCAAGGAAAGAAATCTATCACGATAGAGGTATAAGACCAAATGTGTTCGAAATGTATGAGTCAAAAAAATTCGACCCGAGTGAAAGGAAATCCATCAAGATGTAGACACAAGACTAAATGCTCTCGAAATCGTGAATCAAAAATTTTGACTCACATGAAAAAAATTCTATCACAACAAAGGTGCAAGATCAAATGTGCTCGATATGTATTAGTCGAGAATCCTAATCCACGTAAAAAAAAATCTATTATGATAAAAACACAATACAAAATATGCTCGAGACATATAAGCCACGTAAAAAAACATCCACCATGATGGAGATGACAACTTGACCCATGAAAACAAATCTCGAATACTCACATGTTGGATGGATTAAACATCTGATATATCACTACCACATGACATCCAAAGAGGGAAGAGAAAACAAAACTTCATTCTTATCATTTATGACAAGAAAAATAATTTTAAATTTTGTTCAGATTAATTTAAGCGTAAAGGGACTACTTTATGAAATCTCTTCCAACCTCGATCTTGAATAGTGATACGTATTTAAGTTCAAATCATATCGAGTTGACTTATACGTTAATGATATTTTTCTCTAACACACGTCAATCATATTAGAAATATATTCGTTAATATCAAAAGAATATAACAAAAGACTTTCGCATGGGAGATCATTCAGTATATATAAATCATATAACAATTTAAAATGATTCAAATAGACTATTACTTAACATGCTCATAATTCATGTTTGCACTTGACATGTTTATTTACCAAAGAACAAAACATCATAGTGTTTCTAAGAAAATTATTATATCAAATGATATATATATA